AGGGGCCGGCGGCGGAGGCGGGGAGGGTGGGCTGCCGCGGGAGGCGCACCTCGCCGGCGAGCCGGCCTAGGAAGTCCGACCACAGGACGGTGGCTGCAACTGCCAAGGAGACATTTTCTCCCCGAGCAGCCAGGTTCCAGCGGCCCTCTGCCAACCCAGCTTGCGGGTTCCCTGTCTACTTTTCTCCAAACAGGCTCCCCGGCGGTCACGGGATTTCTGCCTGGACGGGGATTGGGCGAGAGTTCCGCATATGGAGGCGCCCTCTCTGGAGCCTCTCGGAGCGGGGCGCGCTCCCTTCTCCCAGCCCCATCCAGACCCGACCCTCTTCAGTTAACGCTGTGCACGGGGATTTTTAAAAGGGCCACCCCCCTCCCTTAAAAAAGACACCACATTTGATCCCGTCTTTTGTCCAGTGCTCGTTGGTAGTGACCTTCCCTGTGTCGGACTCTCAACCTCAGTGTTACACCTTTTAAGTTCAAGCCCCCTAGGGGCTTGCTTGTATTTTCTTAGGGAAACATGTTTATTTGTTTATAGGGTAGAGATAGGGTGTTTTGTTGTGGGGTTTTCTCCTCTCTCCACCAAGAACAGTACAAAAATTCTGTTCACCTCCCATTCGAAGAGTATGTAGCAGAGTATTAGAGGGACCCTGGCTGCTGTTTGACCTAAAGCAGGAGGAGGGGAAGGTTCTGTGTGAAAAGGATTACCAGGGCAGTCGATTTTCCAGTAGGTTAGAACAGTCGTTTGAGGTTGTGTCCTAAATGGTATGGGTGTTAATGCTGTTTGTTCAAAGCCTGTAGCTGTTAGTGGGCTTCAGACAATTTGAAGTGCTTAGTGAAACTAATTTTCTTCACTGATGTAGCTAGTAGTTGAAGGACACTTTCACCTTACTGTGCCTGCCTTGGGTTTTAGCTTGACATTTGGAAAGAGCCTGGTTTAGATTTAAGATAGATGGCATTCCACCCCTAATTCCCAACTCTTATTTTGTGCATTGAGCAAGCCTGCCTCGCAGCTGAATTTTCCTAGCCTTGAAATGGAAATAAAAACGATTTCATGGGGTTCTTGGCAGGAGTAAATGAAAGGAACGTACGGTGCACAGTGAAAGTTAAATTTCATAATTATAAAAGAATGATTCTGGGTACGCTTTTATGCATTTCTGGATTGGGGCTTTCTTGGCTGTTTTGAACTTTTCTCTTTGCCCCATGAGATAGGCTTACGAGTCAATATTTATTTATTAGGCAACTACCCAAAAATGTGCTTTCTTTCTGAGCAGGTTTGTTAGGTGGTATGCATTGTATTTATGAGGCAGACTTCATGCTGGAACACTCTTACATGCCAAGGCCTGACGACCAGGAAGCATAGATCTCTTAAGAGGTGTAGGGCACCTCCTCCTGCATCTTTCCCATGGTCAGTATTTGAGTTGTTGGGTCCCTCACTCATTACTGTGCTTGTTTTCAACCTATATAGAATGAAAAGAATCATGAGGATACTGTTTTGGAATAGTTTTTTTTTTAATTTATTTGGAAACTGTAATAGGTATTCTTTATTAGAATGAGGATAACTGTCACATTCATTTTAAAAATCGAACAGAAAAAAAACCCTCCCTGCCCTGACCCTATATGACAGGGTTGAGCTGCCTCTGGGTTTCCAAGATTGTAACTCTTTACAGGAATAGAAAGCTTCATCTTTTCCCCCAGGCATTTTTCAAGTTCACCTATTTTTCTCCCCTGTGTCATTCTTCTCTAGAAGACTACTGAACCTAAGCAGTTAGGGTTACACTTGGGTGGGCTTTCTTATGGTTATTATAGACCAACCTCGTCAAGCCAGTGTAAATCCATTATTACACTTTTGCAAGGGACTATTGAGCTTCTGCCCCATTCAGGTAGTACTGCAGGTATGTTTTAATACTTCGTTCTGTTACATAAAGTCCTTTGGTATTAATTCAGTATAATTAGGTAAGAACTTAAACATTTGGGAAAACAAATTAATAATAGAAATTCTGACATAATCTCTCTATTTTCCTATTACCTACGTCTAATAAAGCACTCTAGACATTGCTCACCCATCACCCTCCCAAGTATTTGCAAGAAAAAGCTCTGAGGTGCTGAGATTAGGAACACAATGTAGGAAAATTAGAGGACTTTTTTCCATGAAGATTACTTTGATAAGAGAAGATGATATGGGATGATGATGATGAAGCACAGAAAGAATTAATTATTGAGCTGACAGAAATCTGAGAATTAAGAAATAAGTTAGAGCTGTTGAGGTTAGGACAGTGTCTCCCAAAGTGGACAATACTGCCCTCTGAGGAACTCTGCAATGTACCAGGCAGGCTACAAAAGCAGATAATCTACCTGTTATGTTGGACTGTGAACTATACTACCAAGTTGTTCATTGTCTGTGGAGGATTGAGTAAATTTTTTTCTGAAAAGGTAAGCCAAATACGTTTGTAAACTCCCGGGTTAGGAGATTAGGACCTTAATTAAGAGACTATTGCCAATAATGGATTTATGATTCACTAATTTAGTATTATTTATAATAATATTTTGGAATCAAATAGAAATTGATTCACTCACAGTTTTTCTCACTGCCATCGAGTCAGCACTGACTCATAGTGATCCCCATAGGTTTTAGAAAGTTAGAAATCCAAATCTAGAGTGCTGGCTCTAGGGGAAAGCATTCTCTCTGCCTTTCCTGGTTCTAGGAGGTTCCCCAAGCAAGGACCATGAGTCCAAAGTGCACTCTCCACTACTGGTTCTTTCTTGGTGGTATTAGGTCTCTTTCTAAATCTCATTATCGTGTGCCTTCCCCCCAACAGTTTTATTGATGTCTAGTTCACATCATACAATCCAATAGTTCACTCACATCTAGAAGAGTTGTATAGTCATCACCACAATCAGTTTTAGACCATTTTCTTCATTCTTGTTCTCATCGTTATTAGCTTCCCATTTACCTACAGCCTCCCCTACCATGCCCCCAAGGAACCATTAATCCAGATACTATCTCTAGATTTACTTCCCCTGGATTTCACATACAGAAAAACATTAAAAACAACAACTGACAATCACAAAGTAAAACATAATTCAATCGAAAAGAAAGAAAATATTAAAAACTAGAACATTTAAATATGAGGACGATCAAATGATAGAGTGCTAAATTTTAATGTAACTGCAGGTGCAGCAATCCACATTCCACTGTAGTCTGTTTATCATGTGCCTTTTTATCTCTTGATTGTTGTCTAGATTTTTCCAACTTGCTTCTAATACTTGCTTTTGTTTATATATGTACATTTTGAGGAGCAGTTATGTGTGATGATTTTAAGAGTCACCTTTCAGATGCCTTTAAGCTAATAAAAGATTGGGTGTTCTCTTTCACTTTTCTTGGCCTTAGTTTTATTAGTGTCATAAGATTATATGAAGAGGAATGTTTATAAAGGAAGGGTCTTTACAATATTTTGCTTATCTAGTCAAAAGAATATTGAAAAATAATTTTTAAGTTGACATTTTTTACTGTGAGTTTAAATAGCTGAAGGATATAATCTCCATTGTATTGAAAATATCAAGACTTTGGAATAAAGCTGCTGTGTCCTTACTTTAAATACGTACTATCAAACACAAATATAATGATAGAATACCTATTTATAAAATATTTGAGTAGGCTTTTAGCAATCTGAAATTTTATATTGTTCCGATTTCTCTTTTGTACCATTTCCTTGTTCTTTTCTCACAGAATCTTACCTTTCACAATATTTTTTTTGTATTTGAAAATACATTATGGATCACTTTGCCTACTCCCATAGATGTGTTCTTTTTTCTTTTCTTTTTGCATCCTTTTATTCATTTATTTCACAGTATGTATTCTTGTCAGCATAAAGTTCAAATTGTTAAGTCTTGGTTGAAATTATTACAGATACAAATGCATAATTAATTGGTGCTGTGATTGAAGGAGCGTTTTAATGGCACTAGTTGATGCCGTGGGAGTTTTAAAATGTTGAACAGGACAGTCTTGTAAGATTTGAGATGGTAAGAGATTTTCCTCTCCTCCGTAAAATGAGAGGAGGGCATTTGTGAAAAGAGAGTCCGGTTATGCAGGTGCGTTCTCAAGCAGATCCGTCTTAGGAAAAGAAGACAGGGAAGTTGTAGATCTGAAAATTGCTCCCCTTAAAACATATTCCTAGTCTTAAGCCCCCTGCAAAGGCTTTGTGTGCCCCAGTTTGAAGTTGGTGATAACAAACATATTACTCAGCCTAGTATTAATAGTAGAAATTTAAGAAATACTTAAATCTTCCTAATGTTAACATTTTTAAGCCTGTACATAGTATATCACATGGTTTTCTTCAAATAAATATTCTCATTTCATTAAAACAACTAGGTTCACTGCATTCTAAGGGGGTAAATACATTGTTTTTAACAATAAAATTATTTTCTTTTGTTATAGGAGAAGGGGTGTGTCTGACTTGTGAGAAAAACAAAAAAGATCATGTCAGCCATTGAGTAATACTTTCAAGGGTTGAGCGTGAGTGCCAGCCGTGTGAGGTATAGCCACCTTAGATTTATTAAGTTGATTAATAGGTGAGAAGAAGCATTTCTAGGGAAAAGAAGAACTATCTTTAATAAGTGATCACAATCCATTGCCTTCGAAGCATTTCTGACTCAGTGACCCTATCTAGAATTTCCAAGGCTATAAATCTTTATGGGACGACGAGACTGTCTCCTCTTTCTATATTTGAGTAGGTGGTAGATTAGAACTATTGTCCTTGTGGTTAGCAGTCCGATGATTAACTGACAGTGCCAAAAGGGCTTCTTATAGTAGTAGTTGCAATTTATAGAATGTTTATCATGTGCTGGGGGCTTTATCTAGATTTCCATTTAATTCTCTAAGCATCTGTGAAGCAGGCCATCTCATTATCCTTTGCACAGATGAGGGAAAAGAAGTACAGACTGGTTGACTAGATTTGTCCAAGGAGAACTAGCTGGTAAGTGGCCAGGCTGAGACTACAATCCATCCTTAGCCATTACATGAACACAGCATTTCCTGTGAACTTCATCTTTTGGGCCTGCTTGGCACTTCACATAACATGGATAATAATGGTGGAGTCCAATTCAAGGTTAGGGAAAGAATATTTGTAAAATGCCAAATTAGCGATTATTTGTTATTGGGCACCGCCCGCCCCCACCCTGAGACACACACACACACACACCACCAGTACCACCACCACCCCACTCACAGATCCCCCAGTGTTAGAAGGGCTGTTAGTCCCCACAGTTTGGGTGCTGGTCTGTCAGATCACACCTTTAACTACCGTGAGAAGAATTTGGGAGAAATGTAGCCTGCTTTTCATGAGGAGAAAATATAAAATACTTTGTGAAGAAAAATTGCATGTAGACATTACTTCAGACTTTGTGATGCAAGGAATGTTTAAATATGCACGATATGCTACTAAGCCTTGAAGCTAAATGGGAACCTTTCTTTGCAACATTCCATGTTCTGTTAAGTAGGCTTTAAGTGATCATTTTGTAATAAGTCAGTTGTACAAGAAGAATCCGTTCCATGTTAAAGGACTTTTGCTTAGGATACAGGAAAAAAGCAATAGATTTAATTGAATGAAGGCCTCATCTAACTTGGGTTTTATCTGAGCAGTTGAGCTCTTTAGGGATTTTGGTTATAGGGTTAAAAGTTGGTGTTAATGAAGCTTTTTTAAGCATTGAAAATTTTATATTTTTTAGTATATTTTGATAATTAACTTCAGATTTTCATTTTCTTAAATTATATTTTTCTTTTATTAAAGATATACTTGCGGGGGAATCCAATCGGTTTTAACTTTTAAAAAATTTGTAATTGCCATTTTTCTAATGCTTAATGTTGCTCCTGATATGTGTTTTCCCCATCCTTAACCTTTTCCTGATATTAAAACATCATTTAGAAAGAACTTTATTCACTAACAGTGATTGAACTTAGAGTGGTAATGTATGGTTTTTTAAAAAAACAACTCAAACACTAAACTTCACTCCTACAACTTAATGTTTTTTTCATTCCTGATAATAATTTTATGAATGATTACAATTTAGCCTCAGAGTTTTATGGTAGTATTTAATGTGAATGGGTTTGGAGTTCTGGCATTAGTTAGTATTAGGATAATTGTTAAAACACACCAGCTGCTCTTTGGGAAAAAAATGAGGCTATATCCCAGTAAAATTCACACCTTTGGAAAACCCTAGATAAGGTCACTATGAATTGGAATTGAGTTGGCAGAGGGCTTGGGTTTTTTTTCTTTTGGTTTGTTTTGGTAAATGGTGTGTTCATAGGTCAAAAACTTTATCACCATGGTGATAACCAACTCCTAGTGATCCCATGTGTCTCAGTGGAAAAGCATGCTCCCTACGGTTTTGGTGGCTGGTTTATAAGATGCAGGTGGCCAGGCCTTTCTTCCAAAGTCTGTGTGTAGACTCAGGCCTCTTAACTGTTTGCACACCCAGCCATTCCTGGGCAGGTCTTAAGCCATGTGAAATGCTTGAAAAGATGCTTCATTGTTGAGAGCTTTAATGAACTTGACTGCGCAATTAAAAATTAGGAAGAAACTAGACAAGGACCACAGAAAACAAGAAGAGGAACCCACATTCATGTTCCTAGCTCAGGTGTCAGACTTTCATGCATTCTCTTTCTTCTTAATTGATAGGCAGCTTTAATAGAATTAAATTGTTCTGACTTTCAAAATAGCAGAGTAGAAGTAAATTAGAAACAAGGTTAGTATTTCCATGGATTAGAAGGAGGGTCTCATTGTATTAACTTTTGTTCCTTGACTTTTTTTTTTTTTACATTTTTGCCGCCTTTTATTTATTAACAGTTTTATTGACACTTCATATATTGTACAATAGTTCAGTCATATCAAGAAGAATTGTACCATTATTACCAAATCAATTTTAAAACATTTTCTTCCATGTACTCATTGTTATTTATGTAATTATTATTTTTTTAATTACGGCAACAATATACACAACAAAGCTTTCTCCAGTTCAACAACTTCTACATGTATAATTCACTGCCATTGATTATATTCCTTATGATGTATAGTCATTACTGATAAGCTTTTCCAAGTTATTCCACCACCATTGACAAACTCAGTGCCTCCTCCCCTAAGCAACAACTCTCTCCCTCACCTGTGGTAACCATTGGTCCATTCTGGTTTCTGTTTGTGAGTAGTAGTTTTCCTAATGCATATTCAGCACTCCCACAGTTAAATTGCTTTTAGAAAGAGTTGTATGTACATTATCACGATCAGTTCTAGTGCTCCCTCCCCAGTCTCACATTCACTGTTTGCTCCCTAATTCACCCACCACCCCCAAACTCCCAAATAGACCATTGCAGCAGTTATTGTCTATACATACATCCATTCCAGTGCATCATAAACTGGGAAGCCTAACAATAAAAAATGAAAGAGATGAATAATTTTTATTAAAATATACAGTAGGAAAGAAAAGATCAACAATATTTAAAGGCCCAGAGAAGAAATTTCTGTTATAGAACACGTGAGAAATATTTGAGCCTAGAGCAAATTCCGATTGGGTCAAGAGAGAGGTCAATTGACCCCATATCATACCATGGTTCGATCCACCATAATCAGGTTTACAGTGATCTCTAATAGTAAAACTGCTGGAGTTCCTCCAGAGGCTTATTGACTCTTTTTGGAATGTAATTTTATAAAAGGAAATTATTTAGAAAGGAATAGCTGGCATGCTCTTAACAAGAAGTAAGATTAAATCAAAATTATTAAAAACAAAAAAACTACTGAAATCTGGGCCCATTTAAATATGGGGCAAAACAGCATCTGAGGCATTTTGTGTAAGTTTGAGAGGAAGTTTTTAATGACCTCTAATGTAACAAAGATTAAATCTGCTTTATTCTCTATTAAGCAAAGATGGTTTACTTCAGAAAAGAAAATGTTTCAGTTGAAGCCAGTGTTCATTTTTCATTTCCATATGTAGGACATTTACCATATTTAATGTATATCTTTGCTTTCCATCTTTTTTCCCTGTACTTTGTTTTTCTCTGCAGGTACTGTACTAAAATAGAAGCTCATATCATTATACTTAACTTTGAAAGAGAAACCTTTTTTATTCATATTCACAGTATTAATTTTTTTCCCCAGGCTCTACAAAGTACACAGATAAAGACAATGGAGGAATGCTTGTCTGGTCTCCATATCACAGTATCCCAGATGCCAAATGTAAGTTTGCTGCTATTGAATATTTCTGTGAACAAAAACAACCTAGTAGTTGATTAAAAATCTCCTTCTGTTTGTTTTTGGACCTCTCAGATTCTCAGAAGAGGAGTTTTATCTTTATTGTTTTGTTTTTGTAATGGAGGTGGTTCTATGAGAGTGATTTTTCCTTTTGAAAGATAGTGGGTTGATCATTCCAATTTGTGTCAGGCCCATGAAGAATGAACAAACCTAGCATCTGCTGGCATTCCTACTTAAAGCATCAAGCTGGGGCGGGAGTTACTATGTAGACAGCCGCCCAGGCATTTCTCAGTTTGTGGAGCTGTAAAGACGTGCCCTCAAGCGGCAAAGAGCCCACTGTCATTACCATTTTAACGAGGAAAGGGGAAAGAACTGACTTCAGCAGCCCTCAGTCATCTTGTGCTCTCCATTTCTGGACGGAGACCTTCAGGATCATTGACTATGCACTGGCTTTAGACTTCAGTGTGATGTAGCGGACCCAGTCCCTTGCGGCACATCAGATATAGGAAATACGCAGGTAACAACGCTGAAATACCCACCCTCCGTTTAGTTAATGTTGCATTTATAAAACTGTATGGAACAGCTATCCTGGTAGCTGTAAAATAAGCTTGATTTTCTAAATAGTTATTAACATCCAGAAGATGTCTCATGGTGGCCATGTAGTCCCCTGAAAATGAATGATGTCCTAAGTCTAAACGTTTGTATTGATGTATTGAGAGGACTTGGAATGCGTCTGCTGAGTGTGCTTCTGCATACCAGGTGGTTCTTCTCGAAGAGAATTAGAACACCAGCAAAAAGTTTAGCTGATAATCTAAGAATCATGCCCTTGAGGCATTCTTAACAAACTGGACTTGTTCCGCTGGACGGAGCACTGTAAAACTTGAAACAGACTCTGGTGCAGTCCACAGTATGTCTGAGGTTTCCGTTGACAAACTACACATTAACACATTGAATTTTGCTGTTTTTGAACTTTGGGGGTTTTGCGACGTCACATTTCTTGGCCGAGTGGAAAGCAAAATTTAGAACGTGGACACGTCACATAATGTTCATTGGACTACTCATCTGAAGATCCAGAGCAGTGGATATTCAGCCCTGGCTGTGCTTTAGGATCTAAAAGCTACTCCATTCTGGTCACTGTCCCAAACTTACGTTAACGGCTTCGGGGTAGCAGCTGGACATTTTATGTTCAAGGCCCCCCAGTGATTCTAATGCATAGCCAGGCTTGAGAACCATAGGTCTGTTGATGGTGTTGAGCCTTCTGTTGACTATAGGACGCTTGTGTGACTTAGCACATATGTAGAACCGAAGTGAGTGACCCATAGGTGCTATGGGTTCTAAAAGTGTAGCACAGGACTTTTCTACACCTAACGCTTAGGCTGGAGAGTTGTAACATCCATAACAATAGCATTATATTAGCATTATTGTTATAATGGCATATTAAACTACTGACAGAATAATAATGAACACTTAGAAAGGTCTTATAATGTTCCAGGTGCTATTCTAAGAACTTTGCATATGATAACTTATTAATCCTAAGAAGAGGGGGCTGATTTTATTGCCATTTTAGAATGGGGAAGTGAAGGTACAAAGAGGTCAAGCAGCTAGTGATCAGGAGGCTCTTAAACCCAGGTAGACAAGCCGTCTAGGTTCAGAATTCTTAATCACTGCTTCTCAAAAATAGATGAAAGCAGATATAGATGTGTGTATATGAGTGAGTGTTTATAGCCCAGTGCTTTTTGAGTTGGTTCCAATTCATAGCATCCCTATAGAGCTGCCCAGAATGTTTCCAAATCGTTACAGAAGCAGATTTTTCCCTACATTCTGTTGTGTAGTTAGGGGGTTCAAATTGCCAGCCTTTCCATCAGTAGTCCAGTGCTTAACCACTGGTCCACCAGGGGTTCTAAACCCACCAGAGTGTCATGTATATGTACACGTTTACTATAAAAGGTCAGGAAAGAGTGGCTGTTGGACTTAACACAAAACTGAATGTGAATTAGCAGACTTCTAAGCAATGAGCCTTTGAAATAATATATCATCAGTGAAACAGTGCTCGTCTAAATAATTCTGTTGACCAGATTACGTATGGAGGATGAATAAAAGTACTCAAACATCCTTTATATAGCAAGCAGGCAGGAAGAGCTGAAGAACATTTTAGGGATACTCCAGAACCCAACGTACTGCTGTTGAGCTGATTCTGACTTAGAGCAAGCTTGTAGGACAGAGTAGAGGAGCCCTGGTGGCCAAGTGGTTTGGGGTCAAGCTGCTAACTGAAAGAGGAGCAACTCCAAACCACTGGCTATTTCCATAGAAGAAATATGAGACCTACTCCTGTAAAGAGTTACAGTCTTGGAAAACCCACAGAGGCAGTTCCGAGAAGGTTGCTGTGAGTCAGAATCAGCGCCTTAGCAGTGAGTTTGGCTTGGTTTGGTTTGGTAGGACAGAGTAAGATGACTCCACAGGACTTCCAAGGCTGTGAACCTTTTCAGAAATAAACTCCCATATCTTTCTCCCTCCGTGTGGCTGGTAGGTTCAGACATCCTTGTTGCTGAGCACTCTAACCGTTATGCCACCAAGACTCACCTTAGAGTTACTGAAGCATACTTAGATAAATCATTATTATTATATATAAATGACCGAACAACTGCTAAACTATCCTTTATGCAGCAGTCAGATATAAGATGATAAATTGGACTTTGGGCTAACTCTGAATATGAGAGAGGGTCTTGAATAGTCAAGTCTCTTCAAATAAAGACTGGCACAGAAAATCAAGACATTAAAACATTTTAGGTTTTTTGTTTTGGTTTTGTGTGTGTGTGTGTGTGTAAAACAATTATAATGTCACTGGATTAAATATGTATATGCTACATGATCATAGAGATAAATTATGCTACATAAAATTTGGATTTAGTGAACTTTTGATCCTATTTATATAAGTGACAGTCTCTTTGTTATAACATTTCAATTTCTAGGTTGTGAATTATTATATTTTGTTGTATTAGAAAAGTTAGACCTGGACAACTGACATGAATGAAAATAATTATTTCTCATCATTTTGTTACAGTGGACGAGTATATTGCAATTGCAAAGGAAAAACATGGCTACAATGTGGAGCAGGTATGTAGCGAAAACAGCAGTCAGGCTTGCCTCACCCCTTTCCAATTACAAAGGACATCTAACGATCATTTCTAGCCTCAGAAAGTGCATGCACATAAGTTCAGCTAATTTTATAGAGAAGAAAAATGTTTTAGCAAAAGTCTGACTTTTCGTTATTATGAATTTCACTCTTTTAAACATTATTCCTCTCAAAAACTTGAGCACTTTTCTCACTGTCTTTGGTTTGGGTTCTAAAAGCATGCAGTAACAGATATTGCTCCAAATGAGAAGTATGTTTTGTTGTATTTAGGGACAAGTATACCTGAATAGAATTTAATACCATCTATACTTGTGTATAAGCTGCTTTTTCAGCACTTTGTTTATGCAGTTTTTGTGGTAAAATTAGGTGCCTCGGCTTATACTCAAATATATACGGTAAGTCTTCCATTCAAAAATAAAGATTATGGATAATTTTTGTTTTGCTTTTTGATCCAAAAGATCTAAAAGTTATGCTTGTCATTGAAAGAAAAAATTTAAGAGTTCTTAATTTTGATTGAAATAATTCACAAGGGGTTCTGACTTTTGTGTTTCTGTTTAATGACTTTAAAAACCATATGTGTGTGCGGGCAATGAGTGTACAAATGCGCTTTACACAATTGATGTGTGTATGGATTATGATAGGGTTATATGAGCCCCTAATAAAATAATTTAAAAAAACAACATGTATGGTTCACTGCTTCTAATTATGAGTGAGTTTGAGAACGTGGCAAAAGAAAAATAAAGATTCTAAATCCTATTTCTACTAACTATACCAACTTTCATTAGAATTAATAGTAAAATGATTTGATTTGCTTTTAGACAAGTAGTAAGGTGTCATAAACCTGGATTATCAAGATCTCATTTTTTAATACTTGGTAATATGGTTACGTCATAAACTAAAATCATATAATCTGTGAAATTGAGTCATTTCTTTCCAAATGGAGTTAATTTTTTGGTGTGGATTTTGAAGCCCTTCATTTTATCCTTTGTTTTTAAGCCTTTTTGGTTTATTAGAACATTTATGTCTTTCAAATGTGCTGTGTGTTTTAGATTTTATCATCGTTTTAAAGGACTGTAATCTAAGTTTAGAAGATGTCCATTCAGGCTTTCTAGTTACTTGGCAGTCAACTCACTGAAGTTAGTGATACGGCTCAAGGCAAATCTCTGTTGGTGTTGGAGTAACCTTTAGAAATATGTATTAGAATAGTAAGTTGTGAACATTATAGTTGAGGTATTCTTCTAGTGTTTTAATCCATGATGTATTTCTGAAAAGTTAAAATTTAAATATTTCTATACTGAATTTTCTCTTAACCAAGCACTTTTGGTTTTGTGCTGTAATTGGTAGTGACAAGCTTCACTCAACTATTGATTTACTGAGAATTTACCTTTTAGCATTTTTTAAAGCTTTGACAAGTGGATAAACATGGGGGAAATTCTGATCTGAGGCTACAGCTCTGCTTTGCTAATTAGTCACTTTCCGTAGCTCACCCTTTTTCCTAGATTCTGCAGCAAGTACACTATGTCAGGATAGTCACTGTTCTGAAGCCCTGATTAAAAGAAAATAACTAAAAGTGCTCTCCTACTTGCTTACTCTTAATTAAAAGCCCCAAACTGTGAGTGTGTTTTCAGTTGAATTTGCAGGCTTAACCTTTTAACCGAATTTGTACTGAACTTTCTTAAGTAAGTGTAATGAAACCTAAGTCCATTAAAACCAAAGGGGAATGATTTCTCTTCAAAGGCACTTGGCATGTTGTTCTGGCATAAGCATAACATTGAGAAGTCCCTTGCTGATCTCCCTAATTTCACCCCCTTTCCGGATGAGTGGACAGTGGAAGATAAAGTCCTATTTGAACAAGCCTTTAGTTTTCATGGGAAGAGCTTTCACAGGATTCAGCAAATGGTATGGTGATTTTAGTCTTTCTGTGATTCATACTTGAATGACACTGTTAAGTACTTCATAATTATCAAATATAAAACTGTTTGCAATTTAAGTCTAAATAATTATATATTGAAATATATAGTAATCCTGTTTTCGGCAACCACTGAAGTGCATGACAGTTACGTGCTATTTCACACTAACTAGTGCTTATTTTGACTTAACTATGTGTGTAATAGATGTTAACTGTATTTATAATTCGGGGGGGTGGGGAGTTAAAAATTCCCATTCTTTTTTTTTTTTTAATTCCCATTCTTAAAATAATTTTTAAATATTTCCTTTTCTCAACGAATGTATAAGTGTGCTTTACACAATTGATGTCTGTGTGGATTGTGATAAGAGTTGTGTAAGCCCCAATAAAATGATTAAAATGTATATATATATTTCCTTTTTCTTTAATCAATAGAACGCTTTTTCTAACTTAAGTTATTTGGGTTATAAACACCCAGTATAAAAATTAATTATTTCAATTTTGTCATCAGCTACTGCTGCTGTTTGTTTTTTGTTGTTAGTTTAAAGGAGAAAAACTGGAGATTTCAGGCACTTAAATTTGAATAATATGACAAAACAGTATAAACCTGAGAGCTTGGTACAGTAAACAATTAACTTTAGCCCAAGTGGATGGGAATTATGCAGTGTTCACAAATATATCTAGATGCCTTCCGTAACCAAAGGAAACTTTTTTTACTGGGAGTGTATCTCCCTGTTGGCCAGTATGGCAGATTAGTGCATGGTATTTAGTCAGATTATACACAAAAACTGTGTTTGCCAAATAAAATCAGTTTGCACAATGTATCATTTTAAAACCTGGGTTTAAAACAAAGTTCTTTTTTTAAGTTTACTATGAAAAGACTTGAATGGCTCTTCTTGAAAAAATTGTGCTAAGTAAAAGAGGCCATGTCTTATGTGAATCCATTCACCTGAAATGTCCAGAGAAGGAAAATCTGCAGAGATAGAAAGTGGTTGCCAGGGCTTGGGGAGGGAGGAATGAGAGAGGCTGCTAATGGGTACAGGACTTCTTTATGTAGCAGACGCAATGTTAGGGAATGCGTTCCTATGGTTACATAATATCATGAATATACTTAAAATCTTTTCAAGTGATGACTTTTATGGTATCTGAATTATTTTAACTTTTAAAATTCCAATTTATAGAGAGGGAAAACAGATGCTGACCACCACCAGCATGACTGTGGTGGGGAACTCCTGGGGCCACTCTCACCATTACACTGTGACCCTTGCCCCTCACAGGACAAGTAGGAATGTTCCCTCAGAAATGTTGGTGATGCTGGGGTGGCAGAGAGTACTCGATGACTAAATAGGACTAGTTAGCTATGTAAATCATAAAGATATTCTAAATCTTTTGCATTTATGCTTTTATTTGCTATGTAGCTGATTGAAAATATGCTTTGTTGTTGTCTTTTTAAAGCTTCCAGATAAAACAATTGCAAGCCTTGTGAAATACTATTATTCCTGGAAAAAGACGCGATCTCGGACAAGTTTGATGGATCGCCAAGCTCGTAAACTAGCAAATAGACATAATCAAGGTGACAGGTAGGTTCGGTGCCTTTCTGTAATTACATTGTTAGGGACACTGCATTGGATTCCTTATACCTTCAACATCAGAAAAAATATCACAACACGTTATAAATACTTGCCATCCTTACATTCTGTTTCTACTCTGACAGGAAGAGCCAAGTGGTCAGAAATCTTAAAGAGTAAGAATTCTCTTCAACCCTTTAACTTAATCATACCAGCAAACATCCCATCTGAGTTATACTTGAGTTGTAGTTAGCAGTAATCATAATTTTTTTAGTATTGTATAGTCAATACATATAGTTAGAATATATTAAGGGGGATGGGGAGAGGGGGGAAAAATGAGGACCTGATGCCAGGGGCTTAAGTGGAGAACAAATGTTTTGAAAATGATGAGGGCAATCAATGTACAAATGCGCTTTACAGGATTGATGTATGTATGGATTGTGATAAGAGTTGAATGAGCCCCTAATAAAACTATTTTAAAAAAAGAATATATTAAAGGATATATTCTTTGGAAGATGCTCTTTGCACAGTTACCTGAGTAACTGGAAGTCTGTGCTATTGTAGCCAAACCTTTCTCGCAGTAAAGATAATTTTACTTGGTTTTGCCTATCTTTATCCTCTAACCAGAAAATTGAAATATGTTTATGTTTTTTTTCCCCCAAATGATCAATTTGTTTCTAACCCCATTTCCAGTGGGGGGGAGGAGTGTCTATGTTTCTCTCTTTTAGCTAAAAATGTTTGCTAAATGAGTCTCTAAACCCAAAAGGTTAAATGTTTTCTTTACACAATAAATAACTAAATTACAAGTTCATCCTCCCAAGGACAAGTATTGTTCTATTGGAAACTAATAGTAAAAGTATTAGAGTTCGTTAAAGTTTGATAAGAACGTTGGAATAGAACTGAAAGGAGAGAATTAAGTTTACTAATCTTCATTTCTTTTCAGTGATGATGATGTGGAAGAAACACATCCAATGGATGGGAATGATAGTGATTATGATCCTAAAAAGGAAACCAAAAAAGAGGTAATGATAATTATTAAATAGAGTGCTTGTCATTTTTCTATAAATCTACTCATATAACACATACAAATATTTCTACCAAAAAAAGTCTTTAATATACTAGTTAAATAAATCAGAACCCTCCTGATTCTGCCTCGTGGACTCCATGTGTGTGAGAGTAGAACTGTGCCCCAAAGGTTTTCAGTAGCTGAAGTTTCAGAAGTAGATAGCCAGTCCTTTTTCTTCGAAGGCCACTCTCTCAAAAAACCAAACTTGCTGCCATTGAGTCAATGCCAACTCATAGCAGCCCCATAGGATAGGGTAGAGCTGCCTCTGTGGGTTTCTGAGACTGTTTATGGGACTAGAAAGCCTCATCTTTTGCCGTGGAGCACACCCAGTGGTTTCAAACTGCTGACTTGTGATTAGCAGTCCAAATCATAACCGCTACAACCAGGACCACTGTGGATATACGCACACCCCCAAGCTGGCTGCTGACAGTGTCATTGGTTTTCCCTGTTCAAGGACTCCCAGTTCAAGAGGTAGGATGTGTCCGTGCTAGCTGGAAGCGTTTGGGTCTGAGCACTCCAGAACTTCAGTGAGCCAGTCATCTGGGTGGGCTTGGTGCTCTCATCCATCAAGAAGTATAAAAGTCCTGCCGTGGATGACCCACGTTCTGTAATCCGTAGGAAAGCTACAAATGAGGGCTTAAAAGTAAGCATCCTGATTTTGTTACCTTGTTATCCAGTTGTAGCTACTTAGAAGTTAGCGTAGCTGCAAGGGCCCTGGAGGCACAGCTGTGAAATGAAAGGTCAGCTGGTCAAACCCACCTGCCATCTGGGGGAAGGATGTGGCAGTCTGCCCCTGTAAAGGTTATATTGCTCTTCTATTGGGTTTCTGAGTAAGAACTGACTCGACAGCAATGGATTTATTCATTTGGAGTTAACATACCTGCCACTAAGGTATATTGACGCAGCAGACACTGAAATGCTACACATTCTGGACCACACATGGATATCACATAAAACTTGGCAGATAACTTCTCCTACTTCAGGGCAGTATCAGGCAGGGAACTCCCATAAAGCTCTGATGGCATAGTGGCGTGGTATACATTGGACTGCTACTTGCAAGGTCCATGATTCAAAACCACCAGACACTCTCGGAGAAAGATGAGGTTTTCTATTCTCAGACGGCTGCAGTCTCAGAAACCCATGGGGGCAATTGTACCCTGTCGTGTAGAGCCCCTATGAGTCACAGGCAACTCAATGACAGGGAGCTTGGTTCTTTGTTTTCCCTAACTTCTCTACTTCCATACTGCTCTTTTCATCGCATTGTTTGAACTTAGAACTTTCTAACTATTAGAGCTCCTCCACCGAGGAGGAGATAGAAGAATCTCAAACTAGAAAAGTACTCTTACTCTTCGGTATAGTTAAAATAATGGTGACGTAAAATCAGTAAGAAAGGCAATGTTAGGACTCATACTACTTACTACGGCAAGGAGTTAAATCACAAAAATGGTCCAAGGGTTGGCATATAAGAGCTTGTGAGGCATAGGTGTAGCTGTAAAATCTTAAAATGAGTGCTGAAATTGGCGACAGTAGATCTGAGTCACATAAACTTAATGTGTACCAGCTATATGACCTCATCCAGTGTAGACTCCATCCCGCATGTTACTTAGTGTCATGGCCCATGCTGACCCCTCCCCTCATCTTAAACTCTTCCTCTATGAAAAAATTTTACATCCTTCTCTCTTCAAATTCATATTTTTCTGCTGAATGTTCCTAAATTCTTTAATTCATTTATTTCTTTCTCCCTCCAAATCTGCCAGCCTAATCCTTATGTCTGTTTCCCTGAACCATAGGCCCATTGAATTGCTCTCTTCTCCCCACCTTGAGCTCCCATTTTGTTTCTTTTCCTCGCTCCCTTGCCCAGGCCTGTAAACCTACAGGGCTGGCGCACTTATTCTTCTTGATGTGAGAGGCACAGGCCAGGACAATGGCCTAATTATATAAATTGTTGCTGCTACAGAAAGTAGTTTTCAATCTTAGTGTAGTCCTCAGTGCACCTTTCTCTCTCTTTTTAAAAAATAATATCATTATACTTCTCCACGGGCCCTCTCTGCAGAGTCCCTCCCATGGGTGCTACTTAATTGTCATTGCCTTTCAATTTTTAGCTTCCTTAAAACCTGACTCTTTTCCTTTGGTAAGATGAAAATAAAAGGATTATTCTGAAAATCAGAGGTATCGTGTATTAATGTAGTATCCATGGTGGAGTATATCTGTAATAAATGTTGCTGCTGTCTTAGTCTCTGTTTTGAATATTCATTTCTTTCTACTCTTCGCCTACTACTCCCCCGACCCCCCTCATAAAACTTGGCAGGTAACTTGACCTTCTACTTCACAGAAAATGTCAGGCAGAGAGGCACTCCCTGAAATTATAGCACTTTATCCTAACCTCTGCTTGTGCAGTTAGAAAGTTCTAATTACCGGATTTCCCCACCAAACTGAACTCTTTGAAGCCAGGACTGAGTTAGTCATCTTGTGCCCCCAGCATTTTGTATATGGCAGGTAGTCAGTCTCTCTGTGTTTGTGGAATGAACCGTCTGCCTGAATGCCGCCTGCCTTCTCTCTGGCTCCACAGCAAGAAGGGCCCTTTCTCTTGTTCTGAACCATCCCCACTGCTTGTGTGGCCTTAGCCAGCCATTTATATCTCTGGGACTGTCTCCCCACTTCTTCCATCTTCTGCTCATATTTTTAACCTTTTCACTATAGCTGAAGTATGTTCAGCTCTTCCATTTAAAAACAAAATTATCTTTGCACCAGCCTTCGTGCAGGAACTGAGCTCCTTCACTCTGGAGTTGGCTCCAATCAGGCTGCTTCTGTCCTCCTGCCTCCCACACTGCTGGCAGGGGTCACCAGTAATAGCCTGACTGCCACATCCCGTGATTACAATCACTCCCTCTGGCATGGTTAAGTCCCAAGGACCAGATTGTTATGTAAAATCTGTATTCTTGGGAGAGATGGGGACCACATCCTCACTTCAACACTGATTTCTTCCCCAGTCCCACCACTCATTGTTCACAGGTCCCCCAGTGCATCCCAGGAGGTGTGTGGTGCAGGCGCACCCTTCCCCACCACTGCAGAGCCTGTGGTGGTCGAGATGGTGAAGTGTGGCCCAACTCTGTTCACTGTTGTCAGGGAACCCCCTTGTCCTGCATTGCAGGCTTTCCTGGCACCTGGCCCTCTCCAAACCAACCTCTCCATCCCCTTTGCTTGGGTCTTCATCCAGCCCTCCTCTGCCTCCCTGTGATGTCTTGTCATTTCTCGCCCCACAACCTCTGTGGCCAGATGGAGACATCGCAGATGACCAGGAGAAGATGCCACATCACTCATGTGACCTCCAGTATTATCGTGTGGGGCAGCCTGCAGAGGGCGCCGCAGGCCCAGTCACGGACCTGCGTTGGGCCCAAACCATTGGAGGCACCTTATTGCCGACAAATTTTTTCAGTTATTGGAAATGTGAAACGTGAGATAATGAGATAATAGCTGTTAACTGTGAGATTGGTGTGTGCCCTATTTGCCCTCTATCACTTCAATCTGTCCGCCCCTGCTTTCTTCCTGAAAATCTGTCCCTTTGACACTAGCATCTGTGGATTGCTGTCTCCTTTATCAGGCATTATGTCTCCGTTTTGGTGACTTCTATTTCACTCTGCATTTTAACTGTTTATAACTCTCAATATAACTGTAGGATTTGTCATCTTTTCTTCTTTTATTTTTTTCTGAATGAATACACCAGTTCTGTCCTAGCTTAATTCCATACCTCAAGACCCTTCACACTGTCTCTTTAAACCATTGTATACCCGATTGCTAAAGTAATCTTTTAAAAACCATATCAACACTTGAAACTCCTTCAGGGCTTTGTCTGTAGGATAAACATAAGCTCTTTACCCAGTCATTCCCCACTCTACTACACTGCACTTCAAATTACTGGAAGTGTTTTACATGTGCCTTTGCATTCCCTGGCTTGTGTGCTATGGTTATGTTGCTCTCTCCTTTCTCAACTCTGCTGAGAAAACTCGTAACTATAAGATCTAGCTTCACTGTCGAGTCATCCTATGCCCTATATGGTCATACTGCCTCTGTCTCTTAAATCTGTTACAGTACTAATTGTTTACTCAGAGCATCCCTTTTGTACTGCCCATTGCTGGGTGGTGAGCTTTATTGAGCAAGAATTGTGGCTTACCTACTTTTGCAGTCCTAGGGTCTGGTACATAATAAGCATTCAGTAAAACTTACTGTAGTGAATAATAATACATGTCATAAACTCTAACTGTTGAACCAGATAGGAGGGATTTAGGATTTGGTTTCGGTTATCTGAAATACGTAGCTACGTGAGGTACTGTTTCCCTAGCTCTGTAAGGTGATGCATAGTTGTTGTTTTGTCTGAGATCTCATCCTGTTAGCAGATACCGTGAGAGGGATAGAAATTAAAAGTATGAAAAGGACACTACTGCAAGGCTGTGTTCCAGAGGTGGCACTGCATGTCAGCGGCTTCATTCCTGTGTCTGCTTTTTCGTAATTGACATAGACATCAGGAAGGGGAAGATGCGAGGGGGCCTCAGAAAGTTCATGGGGAAGTTTTTATCTTGTAATTCCATTTCTCTGCACACTTGGTGAAGCCCCCTCGTACTACATTCTTTTTACTATCATTCTTCATAGCTGCTACTGTAGGTTACTGACACTTTCCATAACAACTTTTCTTTACTTTTGAAAATTAATGAAATGTAACACCAGCATATCATCACTGAGAAAAACGGGGTTTTCTACTCCCTAAAAGAATTACAGTCTCAGAAATTCCCAGGGGCGATTCTACCCCATCCTACAGGTCTGCGAGGAGCTAGCACTTCCTCGGTGGCAGTGAGTTTGGTTGACCTGTCACTGCACTTAGGAAACCCAGTCTTGTGTATCGTAAATTGCATCCCCTCTTTTCCTCTTCAGAGGGACCCATTATCCTAAAATTTGATCAACTCTTGTTTTGTTTTTACAGAGTTTTAACACATTGCATGTATTTCTGAGCAATGCATCATTTAGTTTTGTTCACTTTGAACTTTATTTAAGTGGAATAATGTATGTGCTCTTAGAATCATTAAATCTATTCTTAGCTACTTTTTTTCTAACTCTCAATGTGTGTTTGCAATTCACTTTCATTATTGTAGTATTCTGTTGTGTATATAGACACCAAAATTGACCTCTTTTCTTATTAACAGACATCATTTCCAATTTTTTATTACTATGAACAACACTGATAAGAGCATGTCTTAGATACACATTCTTAATAATTTCTTGAGGTCAGTGGTTCTCAACCATGTTTTCCTTGGCTTCTTGGAGAAGGCATTTATAAATTATAGGCACATTTTCTTGTTCTCGTGACCAGGGGACACCACTAGGGTGCAGTGGGCTGGGGAAAGGGATGCCAACTCTCCTGAAATGTGCAGCACAAATTGTTCCAGCAACATTTTTCAGTAACTTAGCAGTGCAGATACCATAGGATTGGAGTTGAATTACTCTGCTTTGAGGGTACAACTATGTTCAGCTTTTCTAGGTAATAGAAAATTGGTTTCCATGTTCTTCTACTGGACTGTGAGAGTGCGTCTTGGCTGCCAGTATTCAATATACTTCAGATTTTAAATATGAATCTGGTAGAGTCAAATGGAATCTCCTGGTATTCCTAACATCACTCATTAGATTACTAGAGAGACTGGGCATTTTTCCATGTATTGGGGAACTTGCCTTTGTTGAAATGTGTGTGTGCTTTAACCTCCTTTCCTACTGAGTCTTTTGTCAAATAGAATATACAATTATTTTCTATGAAACTCTTTATTACACTAATTCTCTGGTTAAATATGTTAGAGAATTTTAAGCAGAGTGTATATTTTTATTCACTTTGCATATTTTTTATTTCTTCTGAAAGTGTGTTACTTTTTATCTTAATAATCTTTAGTGATAGTGGAATTTTGTTCGTTTTATGAGGTTTGTTTGTAGTTGCTGGCTGCCACCAAGTCGGTTCCAGCTCCTAGCGGCCCGCTGTTCAACAGAGTAAAATACGCCCAGACCTGGGCCTCCTCACAACTGTTATGTCTGAGCCCATTGTTGCAGCGATCTTTCGGTTCACCTCATCAAGGATCTTCCCCTTCTCCACTGCCTCTCTACTTACTAAGCATGATGTTGTCCTTTTCCTGATAGCGTGTCCAAAGTATGTAAGATGAAGTCTCACTGTAAGGAGTAGTCTAGCTATACTTCTGGCAGGCTGCAGTATTGTCAGTATTCTTCAACAATGCTATAATTCAAGTGCATCAGATTTTCTATGATCCTCTTTATTTCTTGTCCAGCTTTCTCATGCATATGCAGCAATTAAAAATGCTATGATGGGGTCAGGCACCTCTGACTCTTCCAAGTGACACCTTTACTCTTTAACACTTGAAAAAGGTCTTGTACAGCAGACTTGCTCAGTACAGTGCATTGTTTGACTTCTTGACTGCTGCTTCCATGAGCCTTGATTGTAGATACAAGCAAGATGAAATCCTTCACAGTTTCCGCCTTTGGTCTTCATCGGTAAGTCATCGTCGGTGTCAGCTTGCATGGTTTCGATTATGATCACCAAATGATGAGGCTTGATAGCACTTGGGCACTTTCTGCAATTTTATGGACCATTGCTCTTCGAGCTTACCAGATTCTTAGAAAAGTCCTACTTAGGTTTTATTTACATTGGATCTATGTGCAAATTGAGGAGAAATGAAACCCTTGTGTAATTTATTTGTTGATTATTTTGTATTTTTCTCTGTAGAGATTTACAGTATCTGAGACTAATAGCAATTTTGCTTGTTTACTGTCCTTAATTTTTTTTTCATTGCGCTGATTAGGATTACCTTATAAGTCCCGCGCGCTAACCGATTGCGCCACTGGAGCACCCCTAGGATTACCAATATAATGATGAATAGAAGTTATTCGGGTACTTCTTTTGGAAATGTGTTGGACTTAAATGTATTTGATCTGTCTATATCTCTTAAACACTCACATTCCATCTGTTTTGTCTTGCCATCTAAAAACATAAAGTTGTACACAATTTTACACAAACTTACTTCTCATCATTTCTGTTATTAATTTGCTAAGAGTGCTTATCACAAAGGGTTTCAGTTGTATAGTCCACCTTTCAACTGTAGGCATTTTTCATCCATACACATGTATACATTTATATACTTGCCAAGTCCTCATTTTTGTTGACCATTCATTGAATTTGATCTACTAATAATATGTTTCATTTCTAGACATTCTTTTTGATTCTTTTGAATTTCTGCCTGATATATTTTGATAGATTCTTCATTCTGTTTTCAATTCTGTCTTTATTTCTTTATATACATATAATATTTATATTATTTTATTTGTAGAATTCCAAATATCTGTGATCTTTATAGGTGTGATTCTGCTGTGTCTCACCCTTGGGGCTTGCTTCTTTGTGTGTTTAGCAATTTCTAGCTGTAAGCTCATTTTCCTTGAAACATTAGTTGGGGAAATTTCTTTGAGACCAGGTGTAAAGTGTATTTATTCCGAGAACATCCACAGGCACTACAACCTGAGGTCCCTGTCCACTCAACTTTTGACTCAGTGATTTCCAGGCCTGACAGATCATCTACAAGCAGGGAAGTAAACCAAGCCTGTGGTTAGAGATTCTCAAGGGGAATGTTTTCCTTCTTTGCTTCTCCCTCCCCCTCCCCCCAGCCAGCCAAGGGTAAGCTAGGCATGGCTCCTGTTCCTGGTCCTCTCCCTCTGCAGAGCAGGGTGTTTTCTGTGCTTCACACATGGTGGAGTTTTTCCTGTGCGCACTGTCTATCGACTCCTGGCGCCAGGCAAACACCAGCCCCCACATACTCCCTTATACCTCTGGGTTCCTGCTTTCTCATTGATTCTGGCATGGCAACTCTCTCCTCACTTCCTGCCTGCTCAGTGTTGAGTTTAAAATACCTGCTCCAGCAATAGTAGTGCTGCACTCAGAGGGTTTCTTGGAGCTTCCAATCTGCCATGCTCCTTTGAGCTGGGGTTTAAACACTGAAGGTGGGACAGGCTTCAGTAAACAGTTGTTTTATGAGGTTTATTTGGAACTCCTTTTCTAAACAGCTAGATTATTAAATCTGTCCGTGAAATAGCCCTCAACCTGTGGGCATAGTTTCTGAGTGTATGCCTGTCTCCAAAGCACAGGTTGACATTGATTTTCATTCCACTCTTGCAGAATATTTCAAGAAATTCAGTCAAAAATAGAAATGAAGTTCTGGTGTAGGCTGTGAAACTTGAAAACATTGTGCAGAGTGAAATAAGTCAAACATAAAAGAACAAATATTATGTGATCCCATTTTAATAAAATATCCACCAGAAGCAAAAACAGAGACCAAAGTTCACTAGTGTTTCCCAGGAGCAAGTGGGAGGGGGGAGATGGAGTTTGGGTTAAAGCTAATAAAACATTTGGAAACGAGTAGTGATCATTGTTGGCACAACATGACAAACATAGCTAATGTCATGGATTTGTACACACAGCAGTGGTGACATGTTTTGTTTCATCTGTTGGACCACAATAAAAAATATGGGGGAACAAAAAAAGAACAATACATACTGCAAACCGTGTGTCTTGTTCACATGACATTAATTATGTTCCTGGTTGCAGCGTATGCAGCTGGTGTTCAGCGGGCCCTCACTGGTACAGCACAGTGGCCTGAGTCTGCTGGTCGGTCTATGCTTCTCTTGCAGTAGTGGCTGGTTTTTTTTTTTTTTTTTTTTTT